GTATGTATGTATATATATATATTTAAACTGCAGCTGATGTGTATATATATATGCATACATATCTATATGTATATATATACATATATATATATATATGATTACACATGCAAACACCTCTGCAGCTGTAAATGTGCCCTGTGGAAAGGCAGCGGCCGGGATCCGCCCCGGAGGGATTCACAGAGGACGCCTCGCCACAATCGAGGCGCAGACTGCGGAATCTGTTTCATTAGGCAGTTTAGGGTTTAGGGTTTAGGGGGTTTTGGTAGCCCCAACCCCCCAAAGTAGGACCCTATGACTATCATACGATGGTTGTTTCATCCTTTAGTTTCCCAAGATTCTATCATCAATTCTTTCTTCTGATCCAACTAGAAAACATTGAAGGGATATCCGAGCATAGAAAGGTCGCCGCCTCCGCCAGAAGATCCTCCAGAATGATGGGCATCAAAAATCTTAGAGAGTCAGATCCTAATTTGGTCTGGAGACAATTACCATAGATCTTATAATCAATCTACGACTTCAACTCAAATCTTCATTTTAAAATATATAGAACTAGAGTTGACCCGCTGCCTGCAACAACGGAAATTGCTTGTTTGAGAGTACCCATAACGGGAAGCCGGATGAATAATCAATATGTAAGATCGCACGTGAAGCCCGATGAACAGTCAACACATAAAATCGCACGTGACAAAAACGGCCAACCTATAGAATCGGAAAGATCTTGGATTTCTGCCCCGGGTCTAGACGTTCCACGGAGCCGCCGCGTAGACAGCCAAAGAGAGAGAAAAGAGTCAAAATCTCGGGAGATTTTTGGTCGTGGTTGCATCCGGCCCGGTGTTTCCGCCTCATTTATCTTCTTGGGCTACCTGCGCGGCGGCTCGGTGGAGCGCATAAATCCCCGTGGACAGACACGGCCAACCTATAAATTCTGAAAGATTTTGGTTCTCTGTCCCGGGTCTATACGCTCCGCTGAGCAGCCGCGTGGACAGCCAAAGAGAAACAAATTACGCGGGAGACCGCGCCGGAGGCAAGGGCCGCGCGACCAAAAATCTCGGAGATTTTTGGTCGTGCCGCCCGCACCAAAAATCTCGAGGATTTTAGAGCCTCCAGCTGTTCCGAAGGGGTTCTATAAAATCTCTGAGATTTTAGAGCCCCTAAGGAGTCCGCAGGAGGCNNGAGCCGGAAAAGCTAGGCCGCGCACAAACGAAATGGCCGCAAATGGTCGCGCCAGATTATTGATTCAAGATTTTCAGAGATATATGAATGATCAAATATATAAAAACTAGATTTATTATATTCATATATCTTTATGGGGAGAATCATTATTTGAAATTTAATTTGATATTTAGAAATATCGATTAGGTTCTATTTCATTTTAACCATTGATTTAGAATGATAGAAGAAGATTATATTTTTTTGAGTTATAGAAAAATAATATGAGATATTATGAATAGGGATATTTGAATATTTCTTAGAATCTATTTTCATTTATAATAGATAATTGATTGATTTTTTTTTGATCATTTTAATTTGGATCTCAATTCTTTCTATTTCTAGATTCTCGGACATTTATTTCGATAGATGATATTGGAATTTATGATATGAATTAGATGAATCTGAAATTTAATCGATATTTTTTGAGATGATAATTTCATAGAAATGAATATATTTTTAATTCTACTATAATTCTGAAAAGATTAGATATTCATTTTATTGATTTCTTTTTTTCAATTAGAATAAGGTAGAATTGGAAAAATATAGAAATTCTTGAAATGAGATTGAGAATTTAATTATCTAATGAAGATTCTTTTTAAGATAAGTAATTAATATAATTTCGTTTATTATGATAATCGATAGATTCTAGAATTTTCAAAAAGAGTTCATTCTTTCGTTTTTTTTTTTTGTTGATTTTCATTTTCGTTATAGAGAAACGATATATGATAAAATCTAATTAACTATTTA